TTATTTGGCAGATATAGGGTAGAATAATGGCAGATTTTTTTTCTGTTATTTACCTATTATTCACCCTTTATTTATTCGTTCGACCTGTGTTATTAGTTACTAGAATAAAAGCAAAAGGAAATATGAAAATATATAAAGATAATAATGAACAATTATATTCATATCATGAATCAAAATCAAATGCATTAAAAGTATTAGCAAATTCAATTTATGGTATAACAGGATATATTCATTCACCATTATATAATAAAAAAGTTACATTATCAGTAACTGCTTTAGTTCATTCCTTTACTCGATGTGTTATGGAAATCATAAAAGAACAAGGATGTAATGTAGTTTATGGTGATACTGATTCAGTTTTTTATACTTTTATTTACAAACATGTTAAAAGAAATTTATGACAAATATAAACTAATAGAAAATGCAGAAATTAAAAAACAATTTTGGTTAGAAATGATTAATAAAACAATCAGATTTTCTAAAGAACTTCAATTACATATAAATGAAATTTTAAAAAAAGAAACAAGTTATTTTTATATAGCTGTAGCTTATAAAAAAGTTTTAATGCCTGGAATTTTTCCACAGAAAAAAATGTATTTTGGAATTAAACATGAAGATTATACAAATTTTGATAATCCAAAACTTTTCATGAAAGGAAGAATTATTAAAAAAAATGCAACAAAATTCTATCGAACTATTGCAATAGACATCATATAGTCAGTATTAGGATTTAAAGATCAAAAAGAAATCTTAATGAATAATGATAAAAGTATTGAACAAATTATTAGTGAAGTAGTCAAAAAATATATTGATGAAAAGGATTTGAATTTGTTTAAATTAACAGATAGATATAATCCTAATTTCAAACATACAACATTAACTGATTTTACTAATAGAAATTTTCAATCTAAAAAGAAAAGTAAAAACACAAAAGTAATAAATTTCATGACTCGAATGAATGATAATTATAAAATCGAAATTGTAACCAGAAGATTTTATTATTATATAATGACACATCAAGATAAAAAAGCACAAACATATGAAAATATGTGACTAAATTCTAAAATTAAAGACAATCAAAAAATTGATTACTTATATTATTTTAAATCATTATGAGATATTTGTGTACTATTATTAAAAAAAGAAATAGAAGAAACTAAACAATTTCTTAAAATAATATATAATGAAAATTTAAAATATTCAAAACAAACTACATTAGATAAAGTTTGAAATAATTTAGAGAAAAAATTAGTAGAAACAAAATTCATAAGTAACAAAAAAAATATAAACCAATAGAACTAGATATTCTTATACCAAAACGAAATCAAATCAATTACTATTTTCAAAAGAAAAATTAAATATCTAATTTATTTTAGTTGTACAAAATGTTTACTCAAAAATTTGTAATCAAATTTGGACCAAATGCTTCTTTATGTTTAATAGAAATTTCTAAAGCAGTAACATTTACACTTTTTATAATCAGTTTAATAATTACAATTCATTTATTTATTCATATTATCTATTCGATATTTAAATATTATACTTCTAATCAGTCAAAGACCAATTAGATTTTTTTGTAAATAATTTTTTAATGGCACAGGAATTTTTAATCAAAATTGGTTCCAATCTATAATTTTATTTAATTGAACTTTTTAATGCATTAGTAACTATAATTTTTTTATTTGTTGTATTTAATATGTTTAAAATTATTTCTAATCAGTCAAAGACTGATGATCAATATATCACTAAAGAAGACTAATAACAAATATCATTTACAATTAAATGATAAAACCAAAGAATATGATAAATTTGAATTTGAATGATATTCAACATTATTTTCTGATTGAAAAGTTTCAAATTTAACTTATAAAAATGAGAATATCTATCATCAATATTTTGTAGTTCCAGAATCAGATTTTAATTATCATTTACAAACATACTTCTACTATTATATTGAGTCGAGTAACTATATTTATAATTTACAAACTAAAGAATCTTTTAGATTAAATAATAGAATTATAACTGATCAAATGATGCATCATAAATATGGATTATATATTTATTATAAAGTAGATGAAAAAAAATATTTTTATTTTCTGAAGAATTTGCAATACTTGTTTATGATTCAAATGCTGCAAATTATAATTTAAAGTGTTTTAAATTTGTTAGCTTAATTTCAATTACTCTAATCAGTATTATACTGATTAGATTTTTCTTTATATAATTATGAATAAAATTTTTAATATACCAGAAATAAATCAGATGATATCATTTTAAGTAATTAATATTAAGTCTTTCGCATTGATAAATAGATGTTCATATTTTAATGTAAAACTGATACTTAAATATTTGAAAAAATATTACAAATATTTTGAAAAAATGTCTGAGTGTAAAGAAAATCAAATTTTATTATAGTCATCGATGTGTACTAACAAACATATCAGATCAGAAATTTTTTCCATATTTCAAAATAATGGCACTTTACGCCTAGTTCCGTAAAACCTTGCCTTATTTAATGAAAAAATAAAAGATGTCGCCAAAACAACATACAAAAAAGATCATGTCGCAAATATACATTTCAATTACATAATGTGAATGTATAGTATATTCTATTCTCTTTTACGCCATCTTCGAGCATGGCTATTTTCATAGTGTTTCATAAAAGTATACCGATCAGAGAATGTTATTTCACATTCCGGGCAATTAATTTGCAATTCTTCATCTGATGATGATGATTCTGAGGATTCCTAGTTATGGAATACATGAATTTATAAAAAAGGTAATGAATAATAAAAAAAATTACAACATAGAAAGTAATAAAACTTACCTGTGAAATTGTATCATCAATTTTCTGCACTTCAAGTGTGAATCCCGGTAAAACACTACCACCATTTACATTATTCCAGCCGTGTGAAGTTCGATAGACAACCCCACTAACCCTCCGTCTGTAAATATATATTTGCTTATTCTTTGGGTCCACTAACCAACCAAGATCAACTGATGAGCTCGTTGCAAAGTAAATTTCTCTGAATTTTTGATCTAAATCATTAAATTCTTGGTAACCTTCTCGGACAACCGCGACTTTCACAATGAATGTGGGTGTAAATGACTGGCCTTTGAAGGACCATTGTTGTTGATGATCAAGTGAACGGTAAATATTCTTTGGAATAAATGCAACATCAGGTGCACGAATTGTTCGTTGACCAGAAATGTCGAAATCAAATCCACCCTGAGATGTAGTGATAATTCCATTTTGGTGAGTACACACATTCCATGTTCTAAGTTGGCCAAATATTTCACCAGCAACAGCTTCCTTGTTTACTGGATTTTGTGGCATTGGTATGAGTTTTCCTTTATTGAATTCAAACAGATCTACTGGGTTTCCATCAATCTCCAAGGTGCGTGTCTTTAGTTGTTCATTGACTAATTCGAACTCTTCAAACGTATAAGTACGTTTAAAGTCCAAATTATCAAGATCTAACTCATGGTGGTTGACTTTGGACATTAAAGCAAAAAAAGCAAAGAAAGTTTGGAAATTTGATCTAACGATTTTATATTACACAAGATCAATGATTGGCTATAAATAAATATTTATGCTCTTGATTTGTTGATCTTGTTTTTAATCCCATTCATTAATAAATGTTCGTTATACTTACTCACTAAATTGATATGAATGAATGATTAATACGAATGAAATATTAGGTAATAGTAAATAAGTATTTATGTTCTTGTTGTTAATTACATTCATTAATTATTCTTTATACTTACTAACTAAATTAATATGATTGAATGAGTGATTAATGCGAATGATTTTACATCATTAGTAAATAAGTATTTATGTTCTTTATTTTATGTCCTTGTTTTTAATTCCATTCATTAATAAATGTTCTTCATACTCACGAGCTAAATTAATATAAATGAATGAATGATTAATACGAATGAAATATTAGATAATGTTAAATAAGTATTTATGTTCTTAATTTGTGTCCTTGCTTTTAATTCCATTTATTAATAAAAGTTCTTTATACTCACTAACTAAATTAATATGATTGAATAAATGATTAATGCGAATGAAATATTAGGTAATGGTAAATAAGTAGTTATGTTCTTGATTTGTGTTCTTGTTTTTAATTCTAATCATTAATTAATGTTCTTTATACTCACACACTAAATTAATAGAAATGAATGAATAATTAATACAAATGAAATATTAGGTAATAATGGTAAATAAATATTTATGTTCCTGATTTGTGTTCTTGTTTTTTAATTCCAATTATTAATAAATGTTCTTTGTACTTACGAACTAAATTAATATGAAAACGAATGAAATATTAGATAATAGTAAATAAGTATTTATGTACTTGATTTGTGTTCTTGTTTTTAATTCCATTCATTAATAAATGTTCTCTATACTTACAGACTAAATTATTATGAACGAATGATTAATATGCATGAAATATTAGGTAATGGTAAATAAGTATTTATGTTTTTGATTTGTGATCTTGCTTTCAATTATACTTACGGGCTAAATTAACACAAATAATTAATATTTGTAAACTTAATTAATTGTAAATTGACAGTTTTTTATACTTACTCCCTGATAAATACAATTGAATTATTAAAATTGTAAATATTCCAGTTTTTAAAATATTAAAAATTAAAAAATTAGCTTACTTTTTAATCCATTCCCGATATTAGTAGCAAATAGCGGTTTTTCGGATCCCCATGGAATTACCCACCTTAGCTGACTTCAAATAATGCTCAAATGCTTTCTCCTTATTGATTTCAACCCCAATTCCTAAATAGTAACAATAACCAACTTGATATACTCCGTTAGAATTATTAAGATAGGCGGATTTTTGATAATAAACGAATGCTTTATTTTTATCCTTTTCAACTCCGATTCCATATTCATAACAATAACCGAGCCTGTATGTTCCTTCTGGATCACTCATATCGGCTGATTTTTTATACCAAATAAATGCTTGGTGTTCATCTTTTTCAATCCCAATTCCTTGATGATAACAATTACCGACTTGAAACATTCCGTCAGCACGTCTCATTTCATCTGATAAAATGACAAGTTTAGAGACTCCATTCGAATTACCCGCCTTTGCTGAATTCTTGTAAAACTCAAATGCTTTATTCTGATTGATTTCAACTCCAATCCCTTGAAGATAACAATTGCCCACTTGAAACATTCCCTTAGAATTTCCCTTATGGCCGATTTTTTAGACCAAGTAAATTCCTTATGCACATCTTTTTCAACCCCATTCCCTTGAAGATAACAATTACCGACTTAAAGCATTCCGTAAGAATTATTCATATTTGCAGATTCTTGATAATATTCGAATGCCTTATGCTCATCTTTTTCAACATCTATTCCATGTTCATAGCAATAACCAAGCATGAATTTTCCATTAGATTCTCCTTTTTCTGCTGATTTTTGGCATTTTGCGAAACTTAATTCGCCAAATTTGCTAGTGATTTCGTTAATTTCATCCGACGACTGTTTTGTTGACATTTTAGATGTAAAAAATTTTAAATTTTTTTTGCTGAGTAAAAAATCCGTTGTAACTATTTATCAATACGCCTCATTAATCCTAAAAATTTCTTCTGCATACCTGGTCACAAATAAATATATATGGAGGTTTGGCTTGCATTAGCATAGTTAAAAATCCACCTGATTGGCTGTCGATCCTTGATATCTTATTGGCTGCCTATAGTAAATGTTCTATATGAAATTTCAATCAATCATATGATAAATCGCTAACGAAAATGATTAAATCTGATGAATTTTGTCAGAAGTAAGTCACTTCAGAGAACTAACTTTCATTAAAGTTTTGTCAGCTGTTTACTATAAAAATTTAGTACTTGTGAATAGTAAGTATTAAATTTTTATATTAAATAGCTTGTGAAACTTTAATGAAAGTTAGTTCTCTGAAGTGACTTTCTTCTGACAAAATTCATCAGATTCAATCATTTTTATTAGCGATTTATCATATAGTTGATTGAAATTTCATATAGAACGTTTACTATAGGCAGCCAATAAG